AAATCAATTGGATGTCATTCACATTATACGCATCTAGACCACCATCGGATCAAGATTTTTAGAAGAATTCTTGAGCAAGTCCCATGGGATTCTTTCTCATAGAGCCGTTTGATATAGTGTCAACATGTTTGATTTTTAGAACATTGTTTCTCTTAGCTTATAAAATGGTCAAAACTGCCATAATAGGGGTAGATTTAGCCTATTGTAATATGCTATCAAATTCTAAACCATACCTGTTTCTCAAAAGACCTAACGTCTCCAGAGCCAGTCAATAAAGAACCTTGGATAGATAATTTGAACTCTAAAGCTACTAGTGGAACCATTTATGATTCCCTCAACTTCCAACTGCTGTCTCTAGGGTTCTCTAGTGAGAACCCTAGAAAAACTATTTAAAAGACTGAACGAACCTCCAGGGACAAGCCACATGACAGATGAGTCGGCTTGGCAACAAATCAATTGGATGTCATTCACATTATACGCATCTAGACCACCATCGGATCAAGATTTTTAGAAGAATTCTTGAGCAAGTCCCATGGGATTCTTTCTCATAGAGCCGTTTGATATAGTGTCAACATCACACCATAATAGGGGTAGATTTAGCCTATTGTAATATGCTATCAAATTCTAAACCATACCTGTTTCTCAAAAGACCTAACGTCTCCAGAGCCAGTCAATAAAGAACCTTGGATAGATAATTTGAACTCTAAAGCTACTAGTGGAACCATTTATGATTCCCTCAACTTCCAACTGCTGTCTCTAGTGAGAACCCTAGAAAAACTATTTAAAAGACTGAACGAACCTCCAGGGACAAGCCACATGACAGATGAGTCGGCTTGGCAACAAATCAATTGGATGTCATTCACATTATACGCATCTAGACCACCATCGGATCAAGATTTTTAGAAGAATTCTTGAGCAAGTCCCATGGGATTCTTTCTCATAGAGCCGTTCGAGCAATTCAAACACGATACATTAGAATTATGTATCTGCTTCTAAATTCAGTAGATTTTTGCATGAATAAGAGATAATGATGATATAAAACTGCTTATAAATTGTGCTTATAAATTGTTTTTAACTTATAAGTTAGCAGATGACGTGTTTATAAGTTGACTTATAAGCTGTTTATAAACCTGACAAAATAAGTAGGATGTACTTATTTTTTTTAAGTTAGTTTTTTCATTTCTTGGTTTTGACCAGATTACTTACAAAGCTATCCCTCAAATATTATGAATATCCCTAAATGACTTAAATATCATTAAATTATCTTATCAATACAAATTTTTTTAAACCTATAAGCAGCTTATAAGATATCAAAGAATCGTAAAGAAGTGAGATTGGTGACTCTGAGATTTCTTTTTGGCTGGTTGCCCTTCCTTTGCCGGCCAGTGACTGCCTCATTTCCTCAACTTGTGGTTGTTGCCATGGAATTGGAGACTTCAATTCCAATTCTGCTGTTTGGTAGCACAAAAATATGCGGATTTGGAATTGAATTCTAATTCCAATTTTTCCATATCAATTCCAAAAATATGTGAATTTGCTAGCATCAAAATATGTGGATGTGGATTTGGAATCATAATACATTTCCATATAAATTATATATACAGTTTTGTTAAAACAAAGGATTTAGAATTATAATAGAATTCTATATCAATTTCTTAATTGTACCAAACAAAGGATTTGAAATTGAATTAGAATTCAATTCCATCCAATTCAATTCCATAGAATTTCAATTCCAATTCTGTGTACCAAACAGAGTCTTAAGGATTTTGTCATTTCTAATTTGCCAGTTTGTGAGAAACCTTTTTCTGCCCATTCTTGTGAATCTTTCCCTTAAATGATGCACAATTAGGATTTGTAGCCTTGAAAGGACTGAGGCAGGGGAGGGATGGGGGTTTCTTGAAATGGGCAGTTGCCTCCCTCTCATCTGCTCATGACCTCTCTATTTTCAAACAGCCCTTTCTTGCTTTCTTCATTGCAAGAAAAAGATACTAAAGAAAAACAACTTGCACTGTTTGGTTCAAACTTCATAGAATTCAGAAGGGAAAAGAAAAAACTGGTATGGAAAAGCTGTTTCGATTTTCAGTTTAAAAGGAAAAGGAAAGAAAAGCTGTACAACAGAGGTTGTGATGCTTGGTTTGTTCTTTACGGCATTTTATTGAACCAATCCGTATCTAAGTATCTTGGTGTGGCAATCTAGCATTAATCATTAATAGCAGTCATGGTGGGTTGTTCTTCTAACTGTCTTAGCACTGAGCCCTCATAATAAAAGAGCCCTAGGAGTAGGTTGGGGGTATCTATATGGGATCCTTCCTAGAAGTTCTACAAAACAAGATGTGACATTACTTTATTATTTGGTCAAAACCGATGAAAAGATGCAATGAAGATATTTTTTTAGTACTATTAACTCTATTACAATGTACGTAGTAGAATGTAATTATGTAAAGAAATATATAGTTTGCTGCCAAGAAAGCCTCTTTCTAATCCTAAAACAACAGAATTCAGTTGAAGCAATGGGTTATTGTTATTATTGTGACTTAAAGGAAGCAATGGGGATTTGTGGCTTGTCATGTTAGTGCTTTTTGTGGAACCAATTCGTATATTGGCATGGCAATCTGCCAATCTGGTATTAGTTGGTAATTGCAGTCACATCGGGTTCTTACCCTTGTTGTAGCTCTGAGCCTCATAAGAAAAGAGCCCCAAAGATGGGTTTTCCGTTTCAGGGTTTTTTCTGCATTTCTAAACTAACAGCCTCTCTATTTTTCTGCCCTCACAGAATGTATGCATCATGCATGTCACAGCATATGAACTATGTGAAAAGGCAAAGAATGAAGTTTTTATGGGACAGAGGGAGTATATTTTTAACTATTGGTTTAAGTACTCAAGTACTCTGTGTTTGAGACATATGTGACAATTTGTTTTAAGAAAGTGCTTATGACTTGTTATTATCGTAACTAACTCTGATGATGCTGTGATGATACAAGGCTACTAATGTTATGGCGTGTGAGGACCCAATCCGTATCTTGGCGGGGCAACCCCAAATGACCTAGTTGTTGCAGCCATGGCGGCCTAGTCTTCTCATTGCCTTGTATAAGCAAAGCTCCTCGTGAAACGAGCTTTAGTTGGGAAGGAATCACAAAAAGTGATTGAGGTAGGGGAAGGATGGGAGTTTCTTGAAAGGGGCAGATTCCTACTTGCCTCCCTCTCATTGGCACATGGTCTCTCTATTTCCAAATGACCCTTTCTATCTTTCTTCATCACCAAAAAGAAACTCAAGAAAATAAACTACTTATACTATGTTTGGTTCAAGGAATTCATATGTAGGAAAAAGAAAATAAAATGGTAAGAAAAGGCAGCTTTGATGTTTGGTTAGAAAGGAAAAGAAAAGAAAATTGCAAGGAAAAGAAAGGTAAGGGAAAGAGGCTGTGATGATGCTTGGTTAATTTATTAGGGAATTTTTTGGAACCAATTAGTATCTTGGTGTGGCAATCGGGTTTTAATTGACAATTGCAGTCATGAAGGGTTCTTCTAATTTCCGTAGTTCTGAGCCTCATAAGAAAATAGCCCTAGAGATATGTGTGGGGTTTCTATGTGGTATCCTTTATTTTCTTCTGTAATTTTCTTTTTCTTCAACTTTTCTTTTTCTTTTTTCTCTAACCTCATAAGAAGTAATTTTGTTCATACCATTTTCTTTTTTTCCTTCCAAATTCCTTGAACCATGAATAGTGTTAGCATTTTCCTTTTTTCATGATTCCCCAAACCAAACGTAGTGTTAGTTAATATGCTTCGGTTTATTTTATTGTGATATAATTTTGTCCCAAAAATGAAAAAGAAAAAGAAGAATCACGAGCTTGCATCTATGAAGAGGCTGTGATGATATACCGTTCTGTGTCTCCTCTTTCCAGACTGCTAAATTTGAGATATTTGTTCGACCCAAGCTGTATCTTGGCAGGGCAACCTGGAAATGGACCCGTTTCTCTCTGGAAACACAGGTCTGAGCCTCTAAATATAGTATTCTTGAAAATTCTGTTCCTAAGAAAAGCTGACTTGTTGTATTATATTTCTACTCTGTTAACTATTCATTCACATGGGTTACTATACTTTCTTTACTTTAATACTTTATACTTTGTGAAAATATGAAGTTTATTAAAGGACAGGGAGCATATTAAAGTGTGTAAAAGCCTTAGGTACATATGCTCTTCTGTTCTTAGCATGAGTTTGATTTTGTCCATTTTCTTCATATCCTAGTTATAATCTATTTGATATGATTTTTTGTGCAACTTTGTAATGTTTTAGGGTGGAGGGGAATATTCTGTATGATTTTGTAATTTTGATGAGTTATTAGAATTTTTTTAAAAAATAAACTTATTGTACAAAATGGAAATGATTTGGCTTGGCTTTTGGAATGGTTGCTGTTGACAGAAATGCATTATGAACAATTTTATTATTGCTGTTTTTGTCGTTGATCCCCCATTTATGATCTCCATGTGTGTGTTGAAAAAAGACTTGTTTTTGTTTGAGAACAATTGCATTTGAAACTACATAAATGATGTGGGGAATCAAAGTTAGGTTCATATTATATTTTTTAACTATAAATAATAAATAGAAAGAAAAGAAATTTTTAATATAGTGATTTGGTCATGCATCTAATTTTCTGAAATCCCATATTTGGTCAAGAACCTAATTTAAAAATAAACTATTTTAGGAATTTGGTCAAGCACCTAATTTACTAAAATCCCATCTTGCTCGATATTTATTACAAATAACTTAATGAGTCAAATACCCGAAAAGTTAACAGAAATAGTTTACCCTAAATGCTAATACAAATAGCTAACAACGTAGAGCGTGTTGCCAGGAAGACTCCTTTTCCTAAGCCTAAAACCACAGATTCGCAGTTGAAGCAATGAATTATTGTTATTATTTTGACCTCGTCACAACAATAGTGAAGTAGCAGTTAGTCAATGTAACTCTTGATGCTTAAGGGTTATCTTGAAACAACCATTCTACATTTCAAACATAGGAGTTAGGTTACGTATATCTAACTTCCCCTCCCCCCAACTCCGCGATGGTGGGCGGTAGCCTTTGAGGCACTGGGGTAATGTTGTACTGTGACCTTGAAGAGGCTGTAATGACAATTGGCAAGTAATGTCACGACATTTTGTGGAACCATTTTGTATCTTGGCGTGGCAATCTTGTCCTCTCTCAAAATGATTTACCTCTTTACTATTCCAGCCTTTTGTTTGTTTGCTTATTTTAATTGATCATTTGTTAAAACAAAATGTTCCTGTCACCTCTTATTTTGTAGAACTTTTGATGTAGTTTTTAAATGTATAGTTTTGACACTTGCGCGATTTTACACGTTTAACAGAAAGTGTAATTCATTTAGGGATGTAGGGAGTATTAAAAACTAATTGCAGTCATGGCGGGTTGTTCTTCTCATTGTTGACGTTCCGAGCCTCATTAGATAGGAGCCCCAAAGGAAGGTTTGGGGTTTCAGGTTCCCATATGGTTTTATGGGAAGGAGGTAGTATATATAATTATGGAGTATTTACATATTTGTTGAAATACTCAACTACCTTATGTCTTTGAGACAAATATGGCATTTTATTTTAGACGAAATGCTTATTATTTGGGACACTCTTGGCTTATTATTCTTGTAACTCTGATGTGGCAGTGATGATGCCATCCAGGTTACTAATTTTGTGGTGGGTGAGGACCCAAACCTTATCTTGGCAGGAAAATCTCGAATGACTTGGTTGTTGCAGCGATGGTGGCCCGGGCTTCTCCATGCCTGGTGTAAGCATAACTCTGAGCATAGTTATTAATGGCGAGTGGTGAGGGGCGGGCGAGAGGACCTTTTTTATGGCGAGAGGCGTGGCGAGAGACGGGCGGTCAAATGGCGAACATGCATGCATGCATACATACATACATATACACACGCGCGCGCACACACACACACACATATATATGTATGTATGTATGTATAAACACATAATATTGATACTATATATGTATGTATGTATGTATGTATGTTTGTATGCATGTATATATATGTGTGTGTGTGTGTGTGTGTGTATATATATATATATATATATTATGGAGTAATATATAGCAATAAATATTATGCATTGTATACCCTAAAGCCCTAAGGCAGTGATTGAGGCGAGAAAGGCGAGCTAGGCGAACGCCTGAGGCAGTGATTGAGGCGAGAAAGGCGACCGCCTTAGGCGCGCCTTAGGGATCTCGCCTCGCCTGGCTTCATTGAGGCGCTGAGAGCTCGCCTGGTCGCCTGAGGCGCCATAGGCGAGAGAGGCGAGCGCCTTTAATAACTATGACTCTGAGCCTTATCAAAAGAGCTTTCTTTGAAGTGTGTATCAATCAAAGATATCAAAGGATCGTAAAGATTGGCGACTTTGAGATTTCTTTTTGGCTGGTTGTCCTTCCTTTGGCGGCCAGTGATTTCCTCAACTTGCGGTCGACGTCATTCTCCTTTAAAGATTTTTGTCATTTATGTGTTGCCGGGTTCGGTAGCATCATTAACACAAACCTTTTTCTACCCATTCTGGTGAACCTTTCCCTTAAATGATACACAATTAGGATTTGTAGCCTAGAAGGGACTGATGCAGGGGAGGGATG